TATATATATATATATATGGGGCTATAGCACATTCAAAAATGAAAGAAATTATACAGAATTTTCTAGGAACGTAATAACATGCTGTACAAAAATCTTAAACAATTTAACATTGATTGATTATTGATAAAACAAAGCATTCTCTTTCTGTAACAAAAAAAAAAGAAGGCATCTATATTAAGTAAATATTATTATTATAGTATAATAATATTATTATAATAATAATATTATATTAATATTATAATAATAATATTATTATAATATTAAGTAAATAACTTTGCTTCATGCTGAGAAATTTTTATGTTATGTCTTATGGGAATCAGGGAAAAGTCGAGTAGTCTTAATCGAATTAAAATAAATATGAATATTAAGTACATCTGACTTCTCGAGACTTTTATGCTAGCAGTTGCGTATTAATTATTTGAAATTAAACATTTGTAAGTTTTCAACATGAACAATCATAAGAATTTGAGTCGATCGAATTTCAATCGATTTTTCATCATACGTTAATATTAAAATTCATAATTAGCATTCATGTTGCTTGTAACCAGGCATCTTCATTATTTGTTCAATACCGCTTAAATATTTCATCTGAAACGTGAAACAGAATCGAAATATTTTCAACTAATTATTTTACTTATAACGTATGACGCTAAATTAAAACAAATCAGTAATCATAATCATAGCTTACAAGAAAATTATCCTACATTTTAATGATCGTTCTTTGCGAAATTTAATCAATAAAATCTATCAAAATGAAATCCGAAATATTTCAACAGAATTTATCAAGCAATTTTATATACCGTTTATTTTATAATTACTCTGTTGTTAAATAAAGTAGGTAAATAATACATCTAATAAAAAAGTGAGATGTTTAACACGGTTTCATCGAGATTTTCCAATTTTGAAGAAAAACATACGTCGAAAACTAATTAAACATTGAATTAAATTTCAGAATTATTCTGTAAAAACAAAATGAAGAATATAGCTTTTCGCGCTCCTTAGAATAAATATTAAATTGTTCAAAGTGTTAGCAACCATCCTAGTAACTTGTAGAGGGGGCTATATGTATTATTCGCATCACCGTTCCATAGTTGTGAAAAAAATCATAAAATTCCTCTTCGTAGTTAACCCCCAAATCGAACCGCTCACTTAAATGAAAAAAAGAAAAGAAAAGAAAAGAAAGAAAGAGAAACACATCGAAAGGTAACTCGAACGATGTTTTAAACGTTTCGATATGTCATACATAAGAAAAATAAGGTGGAGATACCAACGTAGATCATGCATGATACATAACGTCGTCATAACGTTACGGCTAGCTTTCTATTTTAGCCCCGTTTGGAACAGTGTGGGTAGAGGTGAAGACGCTGATGTTGGGACAGTGTGCGCAATGTTGTTCCAGCAACTCACGTCTACCAAAATCGCGTACGTAACAGAGATAACAGAGGCCTATATCGTATTCGGCAAGTTGTCGCCTGTCGCACGGAGTTTGTTCCCTACTGTTACTTTCATTCCAGAACCTGATCATAAAGCCGCGGCCCGATAACGGATAACATTGAATTCGATTGATGATGCGATTGTTGTTATCGCTTTTATCGGCGTAGGCCTCGGCCGGGGCAATCGTTATTTTCGATATCGACCGTTACGTCGAGAGCGCGTTGATCGAAACCTTTCGAAGCCGTTTAACCTTCTATGGGCCGAATGTTTCTTTTGACTGTAAAAAACATCCATGTAACGTAAAATCAACAAAATATCAACCTATATATACAATGGATTAACAATGAATTCAGCAGTTTCAAAAAGTTTTATTACAACGAATAACAAAACTGACATTTCAGGATAGAGGTGATAACTGTTATCAAGAATGTTGTACTGGTTAATACAACATAAGGAGACATTTTACAAGACGTATACGCCATCTTGTGGAAAAAAATTCAATTATTTAATAAAATATCGATATATTAGTGTGTGATTTGAAAGTTACACCGGCCCCATAGAGGGTTAGGTTTCGCCAGACGAGCAGAGATGATTCTTTTGCGCGTGACGTTCCAATTCCAATCACAGTTTAGTCCAGACAATACGAGGAAAGGATCACTAATTAATAACTTGAAAAGGGCATTATGGTTTCGTTGCGCAAGCGAAAATATGCATTTAGTAACGTATAAAGTACTGCATGCGTGAAACGTTCTGGTAAGTAATAATAAAACCTTTGACAAGCAACGATCGTAGAATCAAGACGATAGAATGACGATTATGTAATTGGAAATTATTTTTGGCAAACAGTGATCGTCGACAATATTTGTTGACGAAATTTTCTACATCTGCAAAATATCGAAGAAGCCAATCTTATTCCAATTTATTGCAGTTTACATCGTTAAGTTCTTCCCGTGAATGGAGAGAATTGTAAGATTTTTCAGCGAATGAGGACAAGAAAGATGAATTTAGAAGGTCGTACGAATTCAAAGGATAAAAGTACACCTTCCGCGCTAGTGAATATAATATTCATAAATCATCTTTGTTTCCTCAAGTGAGCTTCTGCATTGTTTTACTCTGTTGATACAATACTCTGCGCCACTCTACAGAAGTATGTAACTTTGCTATATGTATATATGCGTTATAACCTTCTTCTTGTCTTTTGGAAGGAAATATTCCAAGTAGTAGTCAGTTGCAATTTCCAACGACATACATTTGTCGAAAAGTACAAGTAATTTGAAAGAAAAAAAAAACGTAATTTGTACGTATACAGTGTGTATTATTTATTCCATTGTCAGTTTAGATCAAAGACAAACATGGATCAAAATCGGAAAAGGAAAAGATTTTATTCCATTGTTGATCTGAGTGCTTTCTTTAACTTGACTTCAATGAAACAAAAAAAACTGAGTGAGTAAATTTTAACTGACAAGTTGAAACACTTGATAAAGTCCATTGATATTGTAAGAGAAAATGGTATTAATTAATCAACTTCTCAACGTAAAAAAAGCAACAAATATAATAAAACGCCAATGTACACTTTGAAAATAATTAAATATATGCACGAAGAATAGTCAAAAATACACGCTGAAATGAATCAAGTAACAATAAGCCAATTAACAAGAAAACCGTCTCAAGAAAAAAAAAAAAAAAAATAGCACTCGATTCTTCTCGATCGATACCGATCGGATTCCCTCCTTGCACTCGGCTCGTCGTTTCATTCTTACTATTAAAAAAAACCAGCTGTTCGTCTCAAAATCAATATCTATACAACATGCAATCTGAGGCTATCTATAGAACAAGGGAAAGAGACAGAGAAAGAGAAAAGGAACTAAGTAAGTAAGTAACGAGCACAGTATTTTTCTATGTTATCATCGTGCTTCGTATAGCAACGAATAATCGGCCTTTTTAAAGATTGAATTGCCTTCAGCGCGGGGCCAGACGATGACCTACCCCAGGTGATGTCGTTGAACCAAAACTGCGAGGATCCGCTTGTATCGTCGATCAAGGGCGGCATAGTCGGTGCAGAATCTGGCGGAGGATTACACGGCCCGTGAACACGACACGTACTAGTCCCTATGCCTCGATTAGCAGTCGCGTACATAATCTCTGTTGCAGTGACTTCGTCGATATCAACGTCGGAAGTATCGTCGATGCCTTTGTCGCATAGGAGCTTGATCCTGGACGACGAGGTGCCAGGCTGCGCGAATATGTCATCACGCGGACTATTATGGGGCGAGCATTCTGTTCTCATACCGGCGATAGGCTGCTCGTATTCTGCCGAGTCGCTGCTGGGCGATGGTGGATAGGTGCTGCTGCTAGATTTGATCGGTCGATCTCGTGGGAGGACTTGGATGCCGGTGGATGAAGTGGAGGGTCCTCCTTCGACGCCAGGAATCCTCCGCCCAACAGCAGCTGCGGCCGCGGCCGCGGTGGCCGCGGTGTAAGAATAGAAGGAACCACCCTGTATCATCATACTGCAGGGTGGTTCCTCTACTGCGACACCAGGCCCTGTAGAAAGGCCAGAGGACGAGCCAGCGAGCTCACCTTGCACTTGCTGCACTTGCTGCACGCCGTATATCCCTTGTGAAATCCCCGTCGTCTCGGCCTGATGATACTGTTGTTGCTGCTGCTGATGCAACGTCTGATGCTGTTGTTTATCCTTCTCGCGACGCGGTGACCGACCCCGATCGCTGACCGACGTTGCGCTCCAGTAACCCCACGCCATTTTAATTTAGTAGTGGAATTTATCTTGGAATATTTTTGCCCCGTCTATCCCGTTGTTGCCTAATGTCGTTCAACGGTAATACACCACTGGCTCCTGTCTTTTGCTCGCCTAACTACCCTCTAACTCCCACCCTAAGTTTTCCCTACTTTCCTTCCTAAAGGTAGCTGCGCACGCTCTTTCTCTATCTCTGTCTCTCTCTCTCTCGTTTCAGGCTGGATGTCTTTCCCCGGACTCTTCCTCTCCTTCTTGCTCCTCCGATGATCTCTGTCCTCGTCTTTTACCCGTGGGCCCGACCTCTTGCAGGAGAACCCGGCTGAGAATGCGACGAGTCAGCGCGATCGATGCTGGTTTATCGCCACTTTTGCTACCTCTTCGACAGCGATTGTTAAAGCTGTGATGATGTCACCACCTCTCGACATGAATCGGGGACCATTGAAATTCTCCGCTGCGAGACGAGAGCAGCGCCCTGTTATTGTTTTACGTTTCAGGCTAATCAACGTGTAATGCTATCTTTCTCTTTTTTCTCGCCTCGATTTTTCTCTGTCTTTAGCTTGTAGTTTTTTTA